TTAACGAATTTTTGGCTTTCTAATGACCGCTAGACAGAAGTAGCTCACCTTCCTAGTAATAAACAAAGACTACACCAGTAGAACACCAAAATATTTTAATTTAATAAAAAATAATTGTATACAATCTTGATTTATGGTATATCGCGGCAAGACTTGGATGCATCAATGGCTCGTGAAGTTCAAACATGTATATTTGAACATGAAAAAAAAAATGAGGTGCAAATGCAAGAAGAATGAATTAACGCAGTAACATTTTTGCATTGACCAGGGGATCTGGTGGCTTCATCTTAATTTTTGGTATCCAATGATATAATAATAATAAACCCAGTTCAGCACAAAAGAAAAAGAAACAATGACACATATTAACTATGCTCCGTCCAATAAAATATAGCTATACAATATGCTAAGAGAATGTTTGATATATAGGGCCTTTTTGAGTCCCATTTGTAGTATAGAATACATTTTGAAATAATTGATTGATAGAAAATGTGTGATTATAAATTAAGGAAAAGTTTTGAGTTGCATGTAATATTATTTTATTGAAAAATGCGTGGTTGAAAAGAAAAAAGAGAAAAATATATTTTGAAAAAAATGGGGAGCAAACAAAGGCATCCTACTTAATAAAATTTGATGGTATAAATAATTTATTTTTCTTTCTCAGGCAAAACAAGTAAAACTTAGCCCTTGTTTGACATTCATTCTATTTCTCATTTTTTTCTCTTTTTTCATTTCAACTACACATTCTATCAATAAAATAATATTATACATAAACCCCAAAATTCTCCTTACTTTTTAACCACACATTCTTCCATCAATTACTGTTCCAAAATCTACTCTTTCCCAAAATGAGTGTCAAACACAAGCTTAATATACTTGTACATTGTGAATGACATCCCCTATATGTAAGAAATGAAAGTGTTTAAAATCAATGATTATAATTGTTGCTACATCAAACAATGTCAAATTTAATGTCATCCATAATGTATATATGACAAAACTAAACAAGTAACTCACATTGGAGGACTGGATCTTAGCTTCTCGAAGTTCTGTCCTCGAGTAATTAGCACATAGCGTCCCACCTTTCATTACTATTGTGAAAAATGTCATTACCTTTCATTTTTTTAACATTTTCACTCTTATTTCCACCATTCGTTGAAAAAAAATGTCATTTTCATCCATTTTCTCAATTAAAAATTGTGAAATAATGAATATACCATTTTCTTTAAATAAAACAAAAATAACAAGAAAAAAATTAATTGCAACCATAATTTCATTTTTTTTAAAATACGCAAATGAGTCTTAAATAAACTATTAAAATGGTATTTAACACATAATGTTCTTACCTTTCACTATTATTGCAAAAAAATACATACGTTTCTTTTTTGACATTTTTACCTTTTATTACACATTTGATTGCGCAAATCATCATTTCTATCCATTTTCATCTATTTTCTCAATAAATGACTGTGAAATGATGAATGTACATTCTTAATTAAATAAAAAAGCTAAAGAATTAATTACAATCATAGACCCAAATTTTTTAAAAAAAGTGCAAACGAATCCCAAACAAATTATTAAAAATTAAAACTTTCATTTTTTTTTAAAAAAAAGTGAAAAGAATCCCAAATAAATTATTAAAAAAATTACAAATTAGATTTTTTTTCTAAAAAAACAAGTTAGAACGAATCCCAAATAAATTATTAAAAATTAGAAATTAATTTTTTGAAAGAAAAAGTACAAACGACTCCCAATTAAATTTATTAAAAAATTAAAAATGCAAACGTGTCCCAAATAAATTATTTAAAAATTAGAAATTTAAAATAAAAATCATTTTTTAAAAAAAATAGGAAACTATATTCATCATTTCACAACTTTTTATTAAGAAATTGGATGAAAATGGATAGGATTAGAAATGATGGTTTGCGTAATCAAATGTATAATTAAGAGTGAAAATACCAAAAAAAATAAAACATGCAAAAGTTTTCCGTTATAATTGTGAAAAGTATGAACATTATATGCTAATTACCCTTTTAATAATTTATTTGAAACTCATTTGCCATTTTTAAAGAAATTTGGGACTATGATTGTAATTGCAATTAGTTTTTTCCTCTTTCTTTTTGTTTTATTTAAAAAGAAGAGTATATTTGTCATTTCACAACTTTTAATTGAGAAAATAGATTAAAAAAAAATGACATTTTAATCAATGAAAAGTAGAAATAAGGGTGAAAACGTCAAAAAATGAAAGATAAGAACGTTTTTCACAATAACAGTGAAATGTATAGACATTATGTGCTAATTACCATATTTCTTCCCATATCGAGCACTTGCAGAGTTTGATCTTATCCAATAGTAAGCAATACGCCTCATGCATCAATGAAACGGATGTCAAAAGTGTTAGGATAGATCTACCACACATTTAAGGCTACATATTCCTATAAACATTCTTTCAACTGGGCTTCACTGTACCCTTGTTTCGAGCAAGTGCAAGAAAACAAGGCCAGTAAAACCAGTGTATCAGCAGAACCAATGTTTTAAAATGCACGAATATGCTTGATGATTTTTTTTAAACATCTCACATATGGGGTATGCACGTGATAATACGGTCAACTCATTTTGTTGACTGCATATGCACGCTTAAACCCCAAAATGGGGTATGCACGTGACAATACAGTCAACTCATTTTGTTGACTACATATGCACGCTTAAACCCCAAAATGTGAATATATTCATGTTAAAAATTGTGTCAAAACTAGCATATCAAAGTCGAATCCATTTTTATAACTAAAAAAAAAAAACAAAAAATTGAATCCAACAAATATTAAATTAACCCATATCACTCAAACCCATTATACAACAATTTATGGAGTTTTGACGTTTAAAAAAAAAAAATAATCATAACAAATTTTTCGTACTGCTACAAACTATTTGCGCCGAGACCGAGCAGCCTTCTTTTTCTTCTTCAATTTTTCTCTAATTTTACCAGCAAGTGAGTTAGTAATGAACAATCTTGAATTATTGATGGTTGTGATAATGAGGAGATTAATAATGTTAACCTATTATTTATAAAATATATTAGAAATTTTTGAGATGAAATAAAGAAATCGGTGAAGATAATTTTACATACACGTAAGATGACTTNGAAGAGGAGTTTACATTGGAATCAGATAGAATTAAAAAAATATTTAGAATTTTTTAAGTCGATGTTCATGTCTAATCTAATTGTAAAAATTGATTACCAAGTAATTGTTGTATTTATAATATTGAGCATTATGTTTTTGTATAAAAAATTGAATAATATGTATACAATTTAAGCAATTATAGTATTTATGATTTTGAGCAATATTTATTTTTTAAATTTAGAAGAATATGTATAAAGTTTAAAGAATGCATTATTTAATATATTTATTAGTTTAGAATATTTAAAATAATATTAAAAATTGGAAAACGTGTGCATAATTACGTATATGCTTCGCATAAATATGCATATTCCTATAATACTTGATACTCGATTGAAATACACTATTATACATTATACATTTTAGAACCTTAATTTGAACCAGAGGCAACATCTAGCAGTAGACAATCTGTCACAATCAGTAAATAAGATGTTGAAGTATAATTTTGGTTAAGCTTAATATATTCTCATATGCATTATATTCACCAAAAATGTGTGCAATTACCCGCTCTTTTCATCAGACACTTAAAACTATTAAAATTCAAAAAAAAATTCTGATTTTATGAAACAGTTCCATTGTCGTTTAATAGTTTCATTTGACAACACTGAATTATTCAAACTGAAAAGAAAATGAGAGCAGTGTAATAGAACCACCAGTGAGCACTGTCGAATGGACCGACCTTCGATTGAGTTCAAAATTTAAAAGTACTGATACCATCCCAATTCCTTTTGGAATTTTCAAGCTTTCAGAAACTAACCTTTCTTGAAATCCAGTTAAGTGCGTGGGCATAACTCAGGTCCATCTTGTTAGTCCTTGCTGCTTCATCACATAAGATTGAATAAATATCAGAAATTGCATCTAAACCAGATCTCTGGCAGTCATCAGATTACAAAGAAAAATTTGACATTTGCATTAATCCAAGTGCCTCATCGACATCACTCTGAGCAACAGTATCAGAGAACCTGAGTCTCGCAAGAGCCTGCAAAGAAGCAGATTAGGTTCCACGGTAATTAAGAATAAAGATATAAAACTAAGTATTTTATCATGAATCATTTCTTCGAATAACAGAAGACCATTGACCGTCTTAGTCCACTAGTTTAGTAGATTAATCTTGCACTGAGTTTCGTATCATTCTATTTCCATTCTGGCTATACATCACTAGTAACGGGACTTCATTTGTACCCTAACATATGGGAGTGATATGTGATAAGTGAACTAGAATCTCACAGCTGATATCCTAAGAATTCTGAGCAGAGTTCTAACAGTTGTATAAGAATGGAGAGTATTTGATCTGGCCTCTTCTTGCCTGATGCTGGAATAGGCACTAGCTATGTATTCCTCCAGTTCCTTTGGGACAGAGGGAGACAGTTTTCTTGCAGCTGAAATATATGCCCTGGCAACCATGAATAATAATCCAGGTCAAACTATGAGTAATTATACAAAGAGAAAAAATTATGTTTCATGTGTGGCCTGTGCAGTAGGTAATGCGTCTAAAGAAGCATCTCTTAAATTTCAAACTTGCAGGCATAACATAAAGAAAGAAATGGTACAGAAGTAGCACAGGCATTGCTGTTCTAGTTGTGGCAAGCAAATCTTCGTTCAGGTGAGTGTAATTATCAAAGAACGTCCAATTTTTATTACATTCACATGAAATATTCTTAAATTAATTAGACAGGGCAAGAAAGTAATTTCCAGTGACAAGCTAAACCAAAATACATTGAGTTGCGAATTTAACTTAGGACAGAAGGTTCAAGTGGAGTGAACCCAAGAGCTGGAGACTCTTTATTCTGGTGGACATAGACAACATCCCTAGCCATTTCAAGATCAGTATCCATATCTGCTCGATCTAGGATCAACCACAGAATATCGAATCTTTGATAGGTAAGCTGGAGGGAGATTGATATTTTCAGCCGGTGTCCTCCTTAAGTCATAGCTTCCCCTTCGGCACAAAGGACAGGATGCAAGCTTATCACTAAGCTACCAATTGAACAATGTATTTGTTAATAGAGTATTTCAATTTGGCTTGGAGGCCTTAGGCTTGCCTTGCTTAGACCAAAGAGCTAAATAAACCTGATAAAAGGCAGATAAAACTAGGTTTTCTATGCCCCTGTTTGATGGCCATTATTTGTTCTGTTGAGGCTCAAACCCGGATCCATGATGTGTGCTCCCGAAATTGGCAAAAGCGTGTTTACTAAATGGCGTTTCTTTTAGTGTTGAATTTCTATCCTGATGATGACACGTGGTCTTCTACTGGCCGTTTGATCTGTGGTTTCTGATGTGTGATATAAATACCCACTTGGCTGGATTTTTATTCACTTGGTCTCTGGCTTTTCTCCTTCCGCAGTTCTTCTAGGTTCTTTTGAGAGTTTACCCTTTTATTGTAAAGTAGGGTTTGAGATTTCGTGTTCTTCATCCCTTATGATGAACCTTGTAAACTGAGATATTTAGTGGTTTAGCCTCTGTAATATGTTATCTGAGTGATAGTCGCGAGAATAAGATGTTTCTTGTGGTCTTGTAATTTCAGTAGGCCGTTGAAGGCTATCTTCTGTGATTCCTTCGTTTGATCTGCAGTTTGGTGTTAGAGATAAGTGATTTTGTGCCTTTCTCTTGTATTTTGAGGAACGATCTGTAACTTTTGTTGTCATTTTGGGTTTGTTAGTGCAACCGAGTATTCATCCATTTAATGGATGCTCAACGAGGGATGTAGACGTTAGATCCGGTCGTCGAACCTCCTGGGCTTAGGCCAAAACATATCATGT